CTACCGATTGAGCTGGGCTCGATATGGCCGACATCATACCACCACCTTGACGCGTGGTGGTCAGCGCGCAGGTTGTCATTGTTGTTACCGCTGTTGTCGTAGTTGCCGTCGAGGTAGTATCGGTACCAGTAGCTGTCGTCGTAACCGTAGACATTATGGAGCAATTAGGGCCTCTATCCTCAGATTCATACGATTTCGACCTTGTATTCACCATTTAAACCTAGCTAGTATTTAACCACACTACCTCTGTAAACTTTTTACTATCTTCCTTCTCTCTTCTATCTTAAGATTGTATCTCGATTGACAACTAAACTTTAAATATAATAATTTCTTCACTGATTTTCTTTATTTTTCTTCTAGGTAAATTATACGGAATGCCGAAACAATTATCTATAGGGATTCGAAAACGTAGATCTTTCACAGGTGGGTAAAAATAAACCAATCAACATCATAACTACAATGAGCTAAAATATTTACTCAATCTCCAATTCATAAACATTTCTTTTTTTCAGATTGCTCGTTGCCTTAAAATGAACAAAAACAGGGATCAGCTTGCTACCTAACAGACACTTACTCAAGGACACTGGATTACACATATCAAATGCGCACCTATCCAGGACTCCCAAGTTTGGACATGCATCATTTATATTGCCTTAGACGGACGGACAGGTAAGCAAACCAATTTGGTCTATTTAAATTAAATACCGAAACTAATGCTGGTTGTTTCCTCTTTTCAGACTCGTCGCTACCGATCTACTGATGTAAACACAGCCTAATAAACCGTGACTTACGAATCTTCCAATCGGAAACAACCTCACCACCTTCCCAACCCCATCCTACCCCCGTCAGGGCGGATACCTTGCCCAACAGCGCGACTTACGATAAATCTAATGCCGTGACTAAGGTGTCCGACCCTACAGACGTAGGACAGCGTAAGGAGAAGCAAACAAAAATATGAAGTTGGACACCTGATTTCTCAGGCCCCATGTTGCGGGCGCCATTTTTTGTCCTGTCCTATGGACCTTTATCGTCTGGAGTAGGAACTAATCTACTGACGGCGTTGGCTGGCTGACAGCTTGCTCCGGCAACAGCTCAGTCTTTGGGGCCGCAGTTCTTGTCAATAGATTAGACCTCGATAAAGTGGACAAAAAAAAAAAAAACAAAACATCTATAGCCAGCGGGAGGACAAACAAAAGATAGCAACAGCAAATAGCATGACAGTAAAATAGGTTCTTGTCCGTCTGAAATCAATTGGTTTATTGGGCACTTTTCTATGGTATTAGGTGCCAGGAGAGATCCCACCCCACCATGGTATTCCTATTCTCCATTTTTTATCAGGGAATACCCCATACTTTCCCCACCTGTTTTCAATCTACGTTTTCTTACCCATTCTTAGTTTAGTTGTCCATATCACAAGACTTTTTGTTTAATTTTTAAAGCCAAAACGTTATAATATTTTTATTCATTAAAAGCCTTTCATTGGGTTTCGAATTTACATTGAGGTAGCCAATAGTTCATGGGGTTTTTGTAATTCATTTCAAATATCATCGAATATACAGTTTAGTTAAAAAAAATCAAACCAAAAAAAAATCAATCAAAATTTATATCAAATAGAATATTAGGTAGTCGACAATGTGCACGCCAAACATTTACTCCTCTTCTTCTTCTTTCTTTTCAGGACTTTCTAAGGGCTTGGACGCTGAAGGTGGCTTTTGTGTTGGATGCTGGATTCTCCCAATATGTAATGCAAGTAGGTAAGTTATGTTTATAGTATTAGCGTATAATTATATTCCGAATTATTATATATTAAATTTTCTTTTTTATTATTCTTTATTATAGCCTAAGGACAAACAAAGGAAGTGGTCGCCTATAAAAACCAACGACAAACGCTAGGACAACAACGGAGGATGGTCACCTAACCCAGAGTTGAGCTCAATTCGGAGTCCTAACCACCTGCACCTCAACGACAAGGTAAGTACAATTTAATATTATTTCACCTTTGTTTACCCTTTTTTATCCTTTTAATGCTTCTTCTTTCTTTACATGGAAACAAAATCAACCCGGAATTTAACTATCTGCTGGTCGTCCGTCTGTCTGTCCGGAGTTTCAGTGTCTTAGGTCTATTGGGTGAATATACCAGCGCATGCCGGATTGGCTATGCGTTAAATCAGCGCCTCCCTCGTTGGACTTGGACGGCGCAGTGTGTGACTCCCTTTGGATTTATGTAGATTTAGTTGTCGTAGTGATACTTCGTTTTATTTCAAATATTTGCATCTATTTGTTTGTTCAATATTTTTAAGTTTTGTATGTTTTTCTTTGTATTTAAAAAAAAATGCATAGATGTTTTTTTTTTTCTTCCTTTTTTTTATATATATATATGTATCGATCAATAAAAATGTCGATTTTCAAATTTAAATTTGACTTCTTGCTGTTCGGGGAGATCACACGTCCAGTCTTCTTCGCAGGTGTATTAATTTTCTTTTATCCCCCTTTATGACGTTTGCCAACTGTTATACACAACAGCAGTTTTGTGCGTGCTATCAATTTTTCTTCTTCTTCTTCTTTTAAATTTAACCCTACAAGGCGCACACCACAAGCTAAGGCGTGGATTTTTTAAACAATATTTTTTCCAAAGACCCAACAGCAGCTAAGGCGTGGATTTTTTAAACAATATTTTTTCCAAAGACCCAACAGCAGCTAAGGCGTGGATTTTTTAAACAATATTTTTTCCAAAGACCCAACAGCAGCTAAGGCGTGGATTTTTTAAACAATATTTTTTCCAAAGACCCAACAGCAGCTAAGGCGTGGATTTTTTAAACAATATTTTTTCCAAAGACCCAACAGCAGCTAAGGCGTGGATTTTTTAAACAATATTTTTTCCAAAGACCCAACAGCAGCTAAGGCGTGGATTTTTTAAACAATATTTTTTCCAAAGACCCAACAGCAGCTAAGGCGTGGATTTTTTAAACAATATTTTTTCCAAAGACCCAACAGCAGCTAAGGCGTGGATTTTTTAAACAATATTTTTTCCAAAGACCCAACAGCAGCTAAGGCGTGGATTTTTTAAAGAATATTTTTTCCAAAGACCCAACAGCAGCAAAGGCGTGGATTTTTTTAAATAATATTTTTTCCAAAGACCCAACAGCAGCTAAGGAGTGGATTTTTTAAATAATATCTTTTCCGAAGGCCCAACAGCAGCTAAGGAGTGGATTTTTTAAAGAATATTTTTTCCAAAGAATATTTTTTCCAAAGACCCAACAGCAGCTAAAGCGTAGATTTTTTAAAGAATATTTTTTCACCAAATGCGAAGGCGTGGATTTTTTAAAGAATATTTTTTCCAAAGACCCAACAGCAGCTAAGGCGTGGATTTTTTAAAGAATATTTTTTCCAAAGAACAGCTAAGGCGTGGATTTTTTAAAGAATATTTTTTCCAAAGAACAGCTAAGGCGTGGATTTTTTAAAGAATATTTTTTCCAAAGAACAGCCAGCTAAGGCGTGGATTTTTTAAAGAATATTTTTTCCAAAGAACAGCTAAGGCGTGGATTTTTTAAAGAATATTTTTTCCAAAGAACAGCTAAGGCGTGGATTTTTTAAAGAATATTTTTTCCAAAGAACAGCTAAGGCGTGGATTTTTTAAAGAATATTTTTTCCAAAGACCCAACAGCAGCTAAGGCGTGGATTTTTTAAACAATATTTTTTCCAAAGACCCAACAGCAGCTAAGGCGTGGATTTTTTAAACAATATTTTTTCCAAAGACCCAACAGCAGCTAAGGCGTGGATTTTTTAAACAATATTTTTTCCAAAGACCCAACAGCAGCTAAGGCGTGGATTTTTTAAACAATATTTTTTCCAAAGACCCACAGTGCCCTTTACATATCCCTTAAAAATACTCCCTTGAACTCCACTGAACCTATGCTCGACTATGAAAGACTCCCTTCAGCTCGTCTAAAAAAGACTTCATTCAGCTTGTCGACGAAAGATTTTCCTCAGATCATCGATGAAAGACTTCCTTCTGCTCGTCTATGAAAGATCCCTTCAACTCGTCTAGGAACGACTCCCTTCAGCTCGTCTAGGAACGACTCCCTTCAGCTCGTCTATGAAAGACTCCCTTCAGTTCGTCTATAGAAGACGTCATTCATCTCATCTATGAAAGACTCCCTTCAGCTTGTGTATGAAAGTCTGGTCTGTCTATAGAAAATGCTCTTTAGCTCATTTGTAAATCTCCCTTCAGCTCATCTTTACATGTTGTTTACACTTAAACTTAAGTATTTTAATTTATGCTCCGTTTTGAATTTTTAACGGACTATCGTGTACAACCTTGTGATATTCATCACAAAGTCGTACTGTCATTTTATGAGTGACATTTGTTTAAGCGCCACTTTGCAACACCACCGCTTGCGTTGTTTGCTATTCTTCTTCTTGTTTTCTCTTGGATTACATCCAACATCGAGATCTAGCAGCAATACTAAAGGTAATAATATTGTTTACGACAATATTCCATATAAATAAAAATCTCCAATACTACTATTGGACGAATTACTAATACCAACGGTGCACAGTGGGAAAAAATACCGATCTAGCGCGCAGAAAATCAAAAAATGAAGTTGAAGGAAACTTTAAAACATTAATGCAGTTTTAAAGTAGAGTGTTGAGAGTACTTAAGTCCGTATAAAATAATCCGAATTAATAAGCTAGAACGGAATAACGGTACATTTAAAACAGAAATTTTTTCCAATGTTAAAAATGGCATTTTTTAGCTATAAAATTGCGATGGTCGTGTTCATTCTGTGAATATATTATTATAAAATTTTGTCCATTTTTGATATATAGTATTGGTATTTAATTAAATGGTATAGTTATATAACCCATAAGTTATTTTAATTTAGGTGTTTCGGGCTAAATATATGTAAGGCCCGTTTTTTTTAATTCCTTCAATTAAAATAGGGGTTTAGTATGGAGTGCAGTCGAGTTCAGCTTTGATTTTTGTTTTATTTTTCTTGTGTGTCTGTCTAGAACATCATACTAAATTTTTTCCTGCGACTTCCTGCGATTCTCGGATTTATGACAATTTTTTGAAAAAATGCCAATTTTGTGTAGGAAGCTTTTTTAAGGTTTTGTTCAAATAAAATTAAAAATTTGTGAATTTTTTTGATATAATTCATCAAATATGACTTGGAATAGATCACAGCATAGCAGATAAGAAAAAAAACAAGTTCAAAATGTCCATCCTAAGGTTCAAGAGTACTGGGTGTGAGTATGAAAATGAGGGATTTAAGTAAGCTGCTCCAAACGTTGATTTTAAACTCATGCACTGAATATACATTTATTCCAAATGTCTTTCTAAATGAAAATTAAAATTACAACGAAATCGGTTGTAAGAGTCTTTTAAAATACCGCAGGTAAAGGGTCCACTTTATGAACCATGGAAAAATATCATTGGTGTAACATTCATATATACACTGTTTTACCTATATTTATGATTTTCGTGGAGGTGGAGTTTATGGACTTTTATTATACCTGTTATGGGGTTTCCAATGACTGACATGACTTCGGATGACTTTATGACTTTGTCATGCGAATTTCGTTAGGGTCGGATACAGGTATCAGTTACGAATGAATGCAAAAATACATATTATTTATAGATTTTTCTACCTATGAATGAAAAATCCGCATTTAACAAATGTTCATTCATAGATTTTTCTCATTCAATAAGTGTCAAAGAACGGGATTATACAAGTTATAAACAAGTGAATAGCGATTTATTTTAGTTCTTAAACAAGTGAAGTGGAAAAATGTCAATTTTGTACAGAGAGCTCTTTGAAGTTTGGATAAAATCTAAACATGGTTTTGATGTAAAAGAATATATATTAAATAGACTTACTGAGGAAATATTTATTCTTTTCGTGGAATTATATTCTTGGTTCTATATGCCTTCAAGCATACACAAAATATT